CTATGCATGTATTACTTTATACGACAGTGTCTCAACTTTACATACAATATATTTATAATTCTAACTTAATGATTTTGGTGTCTATTTCTTCATGATAATCTATTGAATAAAACGTAGATGAAAATATAATACTTACTCAGTTTTGTTTTACATAGTAATACAAAACCTACTAAGATTTTTTTTACGAGATTATCACTAAATATGCATGAAGAGATCAGTTAGTGGTCAAAAACGAAACGAGTTCTTTCCCACTATTTCTCCTCTTTCTTAACCTCTATACACCACCAAGTATAAATTTATCGCTTGTAGCAAAATCATACTTGTGCCACAGTGTTCACAGTTTGCGTATTTAGTGATAATCTCGTTAAAAAAACTTTAATAAGTTTTATATTACTATGTAAAACAAGGTTTTGTATTACTAAACAAAACTTGGTAAATATTAAATTTTCATCTACGTTATATTTATAAATATTATTTATTGGACTCATCAAGAATCTTCAAGGATTATTCTTTAGACGTGGTTGACAAAATCACAGTTGCATACGAAACCGAGGATTTAATGAGCTTTAAAATAATAATTTCATTAATAACTTAGTGGTACTAAATACATTTTTTAAATTTTTGCACGCTTACCATAAAAAAAGTGCTTAGATCAAGTCGAATTATTTTACCGGCTGTTAGGTAACAAGGTCTTGAACTTCTTACTAACATTAATAATAGTAGTTTTTTAGCTTTCGGTGGAAAATTGTACCAGTCGCAGTTATATCTATGAAGTAAATTAGTTGCAATACGAGAACTTTTTTTTATTGAAACAATTTCAATAATTATGATAAAAGAGAAAAAACTTACACCAGTTCATGTACTCCAGAACTTTGATCGGATAATGTTTGACCACAGTAAGAAAGATAAAACAATCGGTGTATAGCTACGCCACAGAGTAATGACAAATTTATCAGTGTGACGAGTTTGGAAGTGGCACGAATAGCCTAAAAGAAATTTTAGCTTAGAAAAAAAATATAACTGTTGGTTAATAAATGTTTTTTTGTTTTAATTAGTTATTACATACTTGTATTGCAGTGACGCTTACAAGAAGCATATTTGGGAATAATGTCATTAAAAATGTATATGTAAAAGTGTCCTCTATCAAATCAGCAAATCTGTTTGAAAAAAAAAAAAACAATAATTTTTCGAAATCTGGTGAAAGAATGTATTGTAACGGATTTAGTATAGTTTGCAGACCTTATGTAGTCAGAAAGATATCTTGTGCATATTCCAATTTCACGACAAATGTAGTCGTCTTTGTTGCAATATTGAAATTGAATATCACCTTTCAACAACTGTGTATTTGTTTCACATACTTTATTTAATTTAGCTCTACAGTAGTATTAAAACTATAATTACTAACATTTTACATATTATAATATACGTATTCTTAAAAATGATCAATGTAGTGCTTACCCTAAAACGGCAAACATTCCGGAAGCATGTTGGGTGACTACGTAAAAGTATCCATCTATCACAGCTATTATCAAAACAACAAAAAACATGCATAACAATTGATGTAAGAACGTAAGCAGGTAGTAGTCTTCCCAGTTAAAGAAGTAATAGTCGCATTCTGCTATGTTAGTTAGAGGACGAGGTTCGTCTAGCGGATTGATGATGTTTAAAACAGCAGAAAATAATTTTGCTAGGCAAAATACCGGAAAACATATAGATATTTCAACTGTAATAAAATGATTGAACACACTTATGAGTGTAAGTAGTATGGTAAATATAATAACAAGTATATAAATATGTATTATGTATACAGGCTTTCTAAGCTTTTGAATAAAACCCGATTAGATACTGATGCAGTGCGCACTATACTTCTTTTAATATCAAGCGCAGTTGATGTCTACATATTAAAAAAACGTCAGGAATGGTAATTGGGACGTTTCAGGTGACTATCGTGGTGTTTTTCATCATTACGATGTTATATTATTTAATAGATAAAACAAAAAAACAAAAAAATAATTTTAAAAAATATCAAAAACATACTGAAGGCTTGACATTATTCGAAGTCGGGAACATGCTTTTTTATTAAAAAATAATTTTTTTTACCTCAGGGTGTTTGTTTGAACATTTTCATGTTTACTGCGCCCTAAGTAGAAAAAATAGTGTACAATATTAATGAGCGTCATATCAGGGCAATCACAAAAGTACTTTAGACGTTACAATAATGACAAAAACTATTTTGATCATGATGTAATTTTTTGAGCTAAAAAGGTAGTTTGAAAAATAAAAATGTTTAAGTTAAAAAAAAAAGCCAAATTTTTGAGCGCATTTTATCATATATTTATTGTTATAAATGTTTATGTTGGGTGTTTCGAAAATTTGAATTTAAAAAAATTGCAAAACAACATAATATACATATACTACGCTAAGAAAGATGAACAAAACTAAAATATCTGATAAAATATGTGAGACATAAAAAAACGAATCAAACAGGATAAAGGTGTTGATAATAAAAGTAATGAAGCTCGCTAAACAGCACACCAAAAGTATAAGAAAGTGTTGATGATAGTTTGAATGTGATATGGATATAACGTTGTTACCAGAGATAATCTTAATAAACATAGTTCCTCTCTTTGCAAACTCAATGATAATTGACAATTCAGCCTTGTCCTTTGCATTTTTCCAGTTCTCAAAAATCGTTACTAGAGTTTTCATCTTCTATAAACCATACATAAGAATGTAACATATTATTTCATATTTTTATATCTACTTACATGCATGTATATTTTGTATCTAAATGTTTCTTAATATCGATAAGTAATGTCTATACAACATCAAAATGTATGTTACATGTTTGAATAGTTATACACGTAAATATGTTTTAAATGGATTTCAGACGTTCACTGTACTCTCGTTAAAAAAATATTTTTCCAAAGGAAAACGTATTTAATCAGAGATATCACAAATACTTCATAAAGTCAAAATGAACTCCTGTTAAAAGTAACTGTACTAAATATGGAATATCACGCTTATCACTCGTGTGCATCTACTTTGGGGTGATAACTGGGCCCAAACGCGCTAATTTTTATCACCAAAAGCACATTGAACGTCTAAATTTCTCGAAAAGTAATGATTTACGTAACAAGTGCGGAAAATACGATTTCTCACATGAATAGTGATACACTAACACTCAAGGATAGGGTGGTAACTTCAATCATAATATATTCCAGCAGTCAATCACGATTTGTGTAAAAAATCTTATTTACCACATTTTTTAAGTGACAAACGACTATATAATAAAATGTGCTTAGGATATACCGAATCATTGAAAATAGCGTCGTTCACAATAATGATCTCTGCGACACAGACGAATGTTAATGCTAAGTAGGACTCAATCAGCTTTTCATAATCGTGGATTACTTTCATGAGGTTAATCACCTTTACAGGAAAAGTTTATCAGAATCAATTTATAATTAAAATTTGAGTGTGAAAAAATCAACCAAACAATAATTATATATTTTTATCAAGTGTTATTAACCATAGGTATATTAACACTTATAACTGAGACCCATAAAATTGTAGTGATGAAATAGCGTTGTTTATAGTCTTGATAAGGCCATCGTCCGATAATCATTAAACATTTCCTTAAGAATGAGTAATAACACGATCGTCTGTAGAAATCATCCATCATTTATACCGTAGACTGCAATGTCTCTTAATTTCTCGTCCTTGTCTACTAAAGCTTTTAATCTGGATCATAAAAAATAGTAATTTAAACGAATAATAAAACAAATGTTCGTAAGTATACCAATACATGTGCACCTATATTTTTAAACTCGACTTTTGACTTTCAAATCTATTTTATGATAAAATGTGTTAATTTATTTAATTAAATTTAATCCTGCAAAATACTGATAAAAACGTTTTTTTCTTTTCCCTAAAAAAAAGTATATTACAAATGCATACTTGATACAATAGTTATTTTTTCTACTTTTTCATCACTGCTTACATAAAAACTTGAATATTAAAACTCACTGCTATATTATAAATTTTCTACACAGATCGAAGCTTATTCGGCTTATAATCTATTTTGACCAGCAAAAAAAAATGTCACTTCTATTTTAAAATTGAAAATAATATTGATACGTATCTACACTTTTAATGAAAATAATGGATAAAACTCTTGCGTATTCTAGTGTATACACACAAGTCTGCGTCTTACTACAAACTTCCATGAAGTTAGTCACGACGCAATGCTTTTGTTTTCGAATTTCTCGTGTATAAAATCAATATAAATACGAAGCCGAATACATTAAAGCATTAGTACATTTTGTACGTATAACACAAATATATATGCTTTACCTCAACAAATATTGATTTTTCTATAAAACCTCGAGCTTATTTTTTTTTGCTTTGGGCGTTTTCTGGTAGAAAAAGTAAATTATGCACCTGTTTTGCACAATACTTATAACCAAGGAAATCGTAAGGGGTCCTTCAGGCTTGGTGTTTAACTTGGTAAAATTGGTCCTTGAGGTATAAAAATTATTATTATTATTTTTTTTTATTTTTTTTTGTAAAACTGGTGTAGAAAAATTGAATTAAACGTAAAATATATGTATATTTGCTTCTATATAATTTAATTATACATTTTAAAAAAACGCGATTTTATGAGTATACGAATGGATGGAAGCTCAATTATTTCGTATGGATTTAAAAACAATTTGAAAGAGAATTTCTTTCTGAATTAAAATAATTTTTGTGGTTCATATTCATATCTTAAATGTGGTGATTATGGTAATGTAATGGAGCGAATATCAAGAACTTCCCATTCCTACAACACTATTTTTCCCACTGAAAGTGGGGCCAAACGACACAAAAAACTCTCCGAGATAGAAAAAAATACTTAGGCCCTTCAAAATAATGTATTGTTTTTACACATTTATTACTATGTACTACAATTTTTTTACTATACATACACCATATTTATACATTATTCGTCGGACTTATCAAGAATCTTCAAGTGGACTTTCTTTGGGCGATGTTGATAAAATCACTGTTGCATATGAAACCGCGGACTTGATAAGCTTAAAAAAATAGTTGTATTATAAGTTGAGTAATACTTAATGAAATTTATTGTTTTTACGCACTTACCGAAGAAAAAGTGATTAAATTAACTCCCATAATTTTACCAGCTGTTAGGTAACAAGGTCTTGAACTTCTTACTAACATTAATAATAGTAGTTTTTTAGCTTTCGGTGGAAAATCATACCATTCGCAATTATATCTAAAGTAAATTAGTTGCAACATGAGAGATCAATCGTTTGAAAAAAAATTTTAATTATCATCAAATATAAGTAATTTACACATATTCATCTACTTTAGAACTGTGATCAAGTAATGTTTGACCTGCGTAAGAAAGGTAAAACAATCGGGCTATAGATATTGCACAGATTAACATAAAATTCAGCGTTGTGATGGATTTAGACGTATCACGAATAACCTGAAAGACACGTGGTTCAGCTAAAAATTATTACCATTGGCTATTTTTTCCTTTTTTAATGATTAGTACTTACGTGTAGTGCAGTGATGCTTATTTGAAGCATATTTGTAAATAGTGTCAAGAAAAATGCATACGTAAAAGTACGCTCTATCAAGTCGGCAAATCTGTTTAACGCGAGAATAATAATTTTAATCAAGTAAAGGAAATTTTTTTAAATAGTTCAAGTATAGCCCACAGACCTAATGCAGTGGCAATGATATATTACACACTTGCCAATCTCCCGACAAATGTAGTCGTCTTTGGTACAATATTGAAATCGGACGTCATCATTTACGAAATTAAAATTTTTATCATTTAATTTATTCAATTTGACTCTGTAATGGCATTAAAATACAAAGAAATAGCTTTCAATAAATCATAGTATTCGTACATCTTTGAAAACTATCAACTCAATATTTACCTTAAAATGTCAAACATGCCACAAGCGTGCTGGGTAGCTTTGCAATAGTAATCGTCCACAGTATTTACTACCAAGACAACGAGACATGCGGCTAGGAAATAATGTAAGAACGTAAGCACGTAGTAGTCTTCCCAATCGAAGAAGTAATAGTCGCATTCTGCTATGTTAGTTAGAGGACGAGGTTCGACGAGTGGGTCGATGTAGTTTAAAATAGCAGGCAATAGCTTTGTAAAGCAGTATACCGGCATACAAACACCGATTTCAACTGTAATGAATCGGAAAAACACATTTACAAGTGTATGTAGTGTGCAAACACCTAAAATGATGTTCAACGCAGGACAACATCAAAAAAAGTATATCTCAAATAGATATTTAAGATGATCAGGAGTCACGTCAAAGAGGGATGAAAAGAAAGATCGGCTAACCTGCACTCGGCAGCAATACCTCTCTTACCACGCACATACCGACGTGGCCTACAAACGCGATATTTCGTTTATGTTTTACATTGATTTTCATTGAAATGCATTTTAATGTGACACGAAATTTGTCTGACTAAATTCAGAAGCTACAGTTCAGTACTTAATTTGCTTTTTTACAATATCTCTGCATTTTAACAAAGTATTTGTATGCATGAAAAAAAATAAGCTAAAGTCAACTTTTGTAAAAACGTATGGTAAGGAGCTCAACTTAACCATTTATTTACTTTCAATAACATTTATTGAATTGTTGAAAGTAGTACAATTAAACTGTTATGGTAAATAATTGTGCTAGTGTTCCTTGATAGAATTAAATTTTTGCAGTGAGCTTTCAGATACATTCTAAAAGGTAACAGCACTGTTGAGCAACAGAAAAAATTTTATAGTCAATGAGGATCCTTTTAATAGCTTAATAATAATTGAATGAAAATCTCTCGTAGTGCCTCTTTGAAATATAATTTTTTTAATTGGAAAGGAAGGATGTAAAAAAGAAAAAATGTTCGTGGCTCATTTTTCAGCCCATTTTAGCTAGTACAAACTAAATATTTTAATTTACTGTTAATAAGTACTATGAAGCATTACCATTTGACTGTTTCAAAGTTTGAAAAACTTTGAAACAATATACACAAACTTATAGACTTGTAACGATTGAAAAAATTTTTAAAATCTTACTATAACTACATCATACGTGAGATGTAAAAAACACATAAACAGAATAAAGGTATTAACAATGAAAGTAAAGCGTGACCAAATTAAATAGTATGAAAAACTTATAAAAAAGCGTGAACAATAATATGATTGAGGTATGAGTGTAAGTTCGTTACCAGACATGATCTTAGTAAACGTAGTTCCTCTTTTCGCGTACTTTTTGATTATTGATAGTTCCTCCTGGTCCTCTACATTTTTCCAATTTTCATACATCGTTTTCAGAATTTCCATCTTCTTCAAGTCATACAGATAAATACATTTTATATCATTACATACATACTATTTCCTCATGCAATTGAGCTTTTGTTTGTAGCTGACAGAAAAACGTTTATATGAGAAGTATACTTGTATTCTAAAGTTATTCGCAAAATCCAGACGTTCAATGCGTCATTGTGAACCAAAATATTTTACAAAATTTATGATAACTGCGCATAATTGTGATCATCCTATAAAAGGATGTGCACCAGCAGTAAATCCTGCTTTTCCTTGCAAAAGCACATTGAATGTCCGAACATTAAGAAAAACGTGAGAAGTATAGAACAGTTATTTACGTAGAAGTGCGGAAAAGAAGACTTTGGGAATTAGTGGAATCGCGTGGTACGGGCTACGCGTACCTATCAGCTATAAGTGCGAGTTCATAACAAAAATTCGGGAAAATTCCACTTGCATATGAGGAAACCCACACAAAATATCCCGTTGCATCAATTAAAAGATGATTCATTTGAAATAATATACATTTAAGATTCGCAAGAAAGGTTGGGTGGGGGTCTAGTGGTGGCAGTCCCATGATGAGGGCTTGAAGAATGTTACTACAAACTACAACAAAATTCTATCAAAACTTCTCAAAAACATCAAAATAGACTCGGTTATATTCAAGTTTTATAATTTTGTTTTAAATATTTGTTATGAGAGATTACTATAGTAGTTTTTGTCACAGAAGCACCACCATCACCAAGGCTATTTTTTGGGCTGATGGACCGTATACGGTACATTGCTCTGACGTCTAACGGAAAAAAGGCATAAGTGACGTTTTTGTCGAAAACGAGTTATTTATACCAATCGATTCGTCAGACAATTCTGCGTCTAATAGTACATCTACAAATTAAATATCTTATACCGTGATTTAGCAATAATTTAATGAAAATTGGAGAAATTGCTAATAATTATCATAGTGATAAAAAAAAAGGGTAAGTGACACAAAACATGGAAATCGTACCAGGCAGACAGCGTAAGTACACTTACCCTTTTTTACGATGAGCACCGCCTTGGATTTCAAACTAGAAAAAGGGTAAGCCCCATGGTATAAGCTGTATTTTTGTACTTACCTTTTTTTTACAAGAAAATTGCGCCGAGTTAGATGGGTAAGTGTAGATTCTCATATCTCCCATCGACAAATTGTTTTTCTTTTGTGGAAAATAGAACAATTATATGATATTTACATAAAAAAAAAGTTTTTCTGCGGTCCAATACTCAAATTATCATTGATTTTTGAAGACACTTAGTTTTCATTGATTATCTCAGTCCATCTCTCATGTCACTTATACCTTTTTTCCGTCGAACGGCAGTGCTCTAGGTAGGAAAATTAGGTTTTATATACAGTTGTTAAGCCTTGTATATCGGAAACTGTTAAATTTTACTATAATTGCAAATGTTAATAGGGCAAAAGCTTGAATGATTCTAGAAAAAAGAAAATATTTAAAAGCTAGTATGTCAAACGTGTGTGATTCAATTCTCCAATTTTTTTGTTTATCGTACGTGGTTAGTATAAACATTTTTAGATTACTACATATACTCATACGAGATATTACTTGTCTTTATCAATACTACAAGTAGTACTACAACTCGCTCGTGTAATGTTAAACAAACTGTTCAACTGTAATTTCTTCGTACATAGTATGTTTGTATGTGAAACTATAAACGTTCTGTGATAAAAGCAGCGTTTAAATACATAAATCTCGCACGTCAATATTTCAATACTCTTCTGTTTTTAAATACTGTTTGAAATTTTACTTTATCAACTTTTAAGATTATTGCGGTCATAAGTACAGTTGAAGAACAAGTTTTCTTACTATTAAAAAGTTAAATTATAAAATTTTGATTATCTAAGGATAAATCAGTGCACAAAAGTATTTATTAATTTTATATGACATTTTTGTTATTATATAAAATTTGAAATAGATTGATTTTTTTTTGGAAAGTGCTTGTTACGTGGAGTTTTATGAAATGAAATGAAATGAATAAAATTTTCTTATTAAAGAACGACTATTTGATTTTTTATAGTTTCAGCTCTAACTACCCGCACCCCTTTCGCGAAGAAAGGTTTGCATTTCTCGTCAGGGACTATTGCCACCACACAACTTTTCTTGTGAGTTATTAACATGCTTATCTTTAAAACATCACATTTTATAACAATTATACATAGTTAATATGTACAAACATAATGAAAAATGCACAATTAATTACCATACACCTTACATCAATTTTTTTCTATTTTGTACTAAATATTCATCACACGAATAAAAAAAAATTTTTTTCGCAACTCGTGTGTCGAATACTTTCGCACTTATGGCTGGATATGGTAAATCCAGCCACTTATGCACATTAATCACGACTCATGAAGTAGATAAATCTTTTCCCGCACTTGTTAAGAAGATAACTACAACGCAATGAAATTTGTTTTCAGAAAATACCAAATCGTTGAGAACAAAGTCGTTAAACAAATAGACTTCTGCAGTGTAGATAAACTCGATAGATAAGTAGGATTCAATCAGCTTCTCATAATCGTGGATAACTTTGATGAAGTTAATCACCTTAACAGTAAAAATATAATCAGGTTTAATTTGAAATCAATGATTTAGCGCGAACTGATTAAGGTATTAGTAAACAATGGATATTCCTCGAATAGTAACCATTGGTATAGTAGCCGTTGCAAGTAAAATCCACCACATTGTAGAGACTAATTTGTATTGTTTATCTTTTTGATAAGGCCACTGTCCGATTATGAGGAAAGATATTCTGTTTATCCAGTAACAATGTGAACGTCTGTAGAAATCATCCATCATTTGATCCGTAGATTGCGATATCTTTGGTTTCACCATCACTTACTATCAAAGCTCTAAATTTTGGAAATAAAAAAAGGTATGTCGCATAAATAATCACGCAAATTTTTGTAACTATACCAACATATAAAAAAAATTTTTTTTTTTTTTTTTATTTTTTAAGTGAGGTTTTGTATGCTTAAACTTAACTTTGTACCTAATCTTATTATTTGTCTTTGTAGATTTATTTAATAAAACGATACTTTATGAAATTAATACTAAAATCAGTTTGAATGGAAATAAAAATCTTTTATTGCTGTTCACATAGAAAATCTTCCGAAGTAGTTGAATATTATGACTAATCTCTGCACTGAAAATTTGCGAAAAATCGTAGCCTGTGTAGCTTATGATCTGTTTTGCCCAGCAAAAAAAATAAGTCACTTTCTCTTAATTTCCAAGCAATAAATTTATTAAATGTATGGACAATCACTTCAACTAAAATACTGGGTTGAACTCTTGCGTACTGCAGCGTGTGCACACAATCGTGCATATGACAACAAACTTAAACGCGATGATTAGGGACTGCGCATTGCTTTTGTTGTCGAATTTCTTATGTAAAACATCAATATGAAAGTATAGCTGAATACATTAAGGTGTTAGTTTGTTTTGTATGTACAGCATNTTTTCAGATTTCTCGATACTTTTGTATTTATTTATATCGATGTAAGTTTTACCTTCACATCGAGATTCACATGTACGTGAATCTACAGACGCCTTTGTAAAAAAACAACATTTAATGATTATTCTTAGCAGGTCTAACGGCTTAAGTATTTGGAGTTTTGATAAGTGTTTGAAAAAAGGGGTTTTTGAGATTTGTTTTTAAAGATTCCGTAAATTGTATTTAACAATAACTGTAATTAATTTAAAATTGCTAATTTATTCATGTGTTAAAAAGGAGGACATTTCTCACTAAGTATGTATTTTTCAGGCAAAACAATAAGCATTTTCCACTTATTTAAAACTTATCATTTTTTTACTAAAGTTATTGAAAATCTTAGAAAGGTGAAATAATATTATTGTTCTAAACAGAGAAAAATATACCAAGGGCAAATAAAAGTGAAAACAAATCCAATATTGCACATCTAGAATACACCAAGTTTCTTTAATAATAAATGTATACACCTACAGGCAACAAATATACAAACAGCCTTGGGTATGATTACTTTATTAACTTTTTAGCATCTAAGAATACTATTTTTTTCTGAGTAAAAAACATTTTTATTGATAAAGACTTTTGCCATTCATAAATATTAACATTGTCAAACGAATAAAAAAATTTTTCTGCCTAATGAGTGCAACACGTATTAGATAATACAACTGATTTTAAAATACTTAAATACTTTTTAAAATATTTTCAAAATTAAAAAAATCACACACACACACACATTTGAAAAAGTACACCCCGTCAGTATCACGTTTTGTAAGACCACCTTGCTGTAATTAGTTTAAACTGTTGGTAACCTTACCTGATTGAGCTGGACAGGTGTTGGCTTCTCTGGAAAGAAGACATTGTCCAGAATAACCCAATATTCGTCAGAAAATTAAATTGATGAGTTTTTGACATCCTAAGTATCGCTTTCTTTCGAAAAAATTTCAGAAAGCGTAGAAAATTTTAGACAGCAGAATTTGAGTGCAATGAATCCTTAGAGTATTCTAGGCTGAGTAGCCAGTACCCAAATCATTCAGCTAGCAAAGCTCCTTTACTTATTTATCATTGCAGGAATATCAATTACTCGAAGCTTATTTGGTTAAAGAATGTATTTAGTGAAAAATCCAGATAATTCAAGTATAGATTTATTTTATGACATTTAATTGACTTTTTAATAATGTGGCGAGCATTATAAATGAAAGCAAGATTTGGAAAAATATAAAGAATTGAAGGACAAAATTTTAATCAATCAAAGCCACAATGTACCGTAGTTTCCCTCTTCACTTTTAGTTAAATTTTTATGATTAAGATGGTAACGGATGGTAAGTAATACAAGGGATATTGTTATTAGCTATTTGAAGTGAGAAATAAATAAAACAAATAATATGACTCTTTGTGAAGATAGTTTATTTTTATAATACATTTATTAACTCTTACTATGACTTCTTATCTACATTTCACAATAA